GTCAGGATCCCATATACATTTTTCGCTTTTTTGACATTATTTTCATGCATGCTATTCGCATCTGCCAACTATTCTCTACTTTATGGCCTCCGCTTTCCATTTTGTGACATTTTTATGTTCCGCACTCGTTGAGAGCTCTTTAACGAGGTAAACCCCCCTAAATGGGGCCTTGTTGGGCTCTCATTTATGTACCAACGTCATACGACAAAAATTCAGTTTTTTTTTAGAAAATGAAAATTCTCATCTATCTCATCGTGATAACTTCGACAGCGACTGCTTTCACCGTATTACCCTATATTCAAATCGACTACGCCCATTATTTTCGTCTGGCACAATGCCAAGCAAAATGTACTCAAAAATATGGCATTTTGTCCAGTCGTGTACTTCTTGATGGTTCTTTGGAAGAATTCTTGGACACTCAAAATGCAGACTGTAAAGCGGTAAGCTTATTCAACAAATATTTTGTGTTTTCCACAGTACTTTTTCTGTAATTAATATTTATAAGAGTAATATCCTTTTTAGTGCGAATCTGGCTGTCATCAGCATCGTCGCAGTCATGGGAGAGGGCCTCCACATCATGGAAAAACTCCTACAGATGATGGCCTAAAATTCTGGGGTGAAAGCAAAGCTGACACTGGTAAGAAATTTTATTTACAATCCATTTCATTCAATATCAAAACTCTATCTTTGGCTGTTTCAAAATTTGGAATCTAATTGATCAATTTTACTAATTTTCAGCAAAAGTTGGTTCAACGCTGGTTTCTTCTGTGCAGCTGCTATGTCAGAATCCGTCAATAGATGAAGAATTTGGAGAATCATCTGAAGGCTTGGTCAGCATATCGCTGTTAAGATCAGCTGGTCCTACAAGGTTTGCTTGCAATATTCAGAGTTCACAGCATTCAAAATCAGCAACTGTGGGGTTTTTTATACAATAAAAATTCAGATTTGTCGTCCAGTGGAAGCAACGAACGCAAGCGATGGGTTACTATGACGAAACGCAATGGATTACTGCTTCGGTAAGAAACTGCAATAATTTCGGTGCATAAAAATCCTTTTTTGATGCCAATAAATTTCAAAAACATGCTTTTGAATTTTTTACCAGAATAACCACAACAACGTAGTCGTTTTCAGGTTGAATCCGACACTTTACTCAAGATTAAAGGACTTATTCCTGGAGTACAGTATCGCTTCAAAGTCACGGCTGTAGGCCCAAGTGGTCGTCTTGGTGAGGCCGTGGATAGCACATGGACAGAAATTTCAAGTAGTGGAGCTCCTAGAACTCCAGGTAGGGTCACTTTCTAATCATCATTCGTTCATGATTTACTCTAATCAAATTAATTTATGCAAGTATCAAATCGAATTTTGCAATTAAAAATTCCCACATGCAATTAATACTCAACTTGCAGATTTTTTTCAAACTCAAGTAAATGTTAAAATTTTTCCAGGCTCCTCCCTTATCATTAGAAATGGTTACGATTCCGATCGAGGAGTTACTGCTCACCTGGAATGGCTTCGAAATCCTCAGGAATCCTGCTACTACAACATTCAGTTATCCAACGCCACCTCAGTCATCAGCACAGATATTAGACTTGTAAGTTGAATTTCTAAGCTTCAAAAAAATCAGATGAATTTGATTTTTTTAGGATGGTTCCTCCTCGATCTTATTGCCTCATCTCGAGTTTGATTGTGACTATGTCGTGACTTTGGCAGCAACTACAAATGACAAGACTCAAACTAGTGGGACAGTGACAAGTAGCTTCAAATCGCTTCAGTGCAAAGATGTACATGGAAGGGGAAGTCTACAATGCTGTGAGTATAGAAAAATTTACAGCTTCTCTGAAAATTTCTTCTTTGGGAGCAGCGTCTATACAGATTGTCGATTTCTATATTTTTACCAATTTTCAAGGCTCTGATATTGATCTGAAGCGCGAAAAGCTTATGAACTCCACATACAGTAACCGCCAAAAAGTTGCGGATAAGCCCTCCTCCCATTTTCATCGCCCATTTTTAGATGGAAAAAGATGACAAAATCTTCTAATTGCATAAGCTGATAGAGCTCTTCAAAA